CAGCCGTCCTGCAAATGCCTGCCCTTGGTCACAAAGGGTCCTCACCTACGTGCGTGACGGGGAACTGGATGGCGGGTCAGTGCCGCCATCTTTGTATCTGAAGAACTTACAACGACCTTTGGCGAAATGAAGAGCTACAGTTTAGAAGGTGTTTCTCATATTCTACGTAGGTTATTTTACCAAACAACTTACACCCACAACCTCATTCTCTAAGCCATAAAAGACAGATATTATGATATAGATTTTAAATATGAGGGCCCAGAGGCTCAGAGTTGGTTACTTATGTTAGGTCAGATGGCTGGTAAATATTGGGTCTTGGATTCCAATTCTGGTTTGTCTGGATCCAAGGTCCAATTTCCTCTCCATTGAACAGCAGGCCAAGCCTTTCTGTGGTCAGTGGGTGAGGAGAATCCTATTTCCCGTCTGACGGATGCCATGGTGTAGATCTAGGCAACAAGCAATAACTAGTTGTAAAATGTGCTTCCTAAGAGTTTAATAGGCTGCGTTTCTAAGTGTGCTTACGGAATGGCTACAGCAATCAGGTAACAACAGAAATCTCTGGACGTCTCCTCTAATTCATTTACCCAAATAAAGCAAACGCCTTTCCAAAAATAAGACACAGGGTATTTTTCCGTCTTCTATTAAAACTGTAAGTTCAAAATATAAAAGGAAACAAAATGAAACCATCAGAAAATTCTGCCTCATACAAAATTTCTCATAAAGTTTAAATATACTGAACAAAGTGTACTATGGATTTCACGATGATAGAGACAATCAAAAGCAGATGACGGCCTTACTAAGAACTTGTCAAATACCTTTGTCCCAACACAGCAAAGTGCTTAGCAGCTAATAAATGTTCAGTACAATTAAATAAATGGGCTAAAATTACCTGGTGCAACATAGATGACTAATCTATTAATAATGACTTCATTTTGTGCTCTGCACACACACCTGAAGTAGTTTGTCTTTTTCAAAACAAGGTGGAGGAACAAAAATTCAATAGTCATTTGTTTTATATACTATTTTCATATAATGCCAATATGATCATAAGACTCAGTTTTATACAAACAAATGATTATAACCTTTATTATATAAACATACCATTAACGGCACCAAGAACGCTACGTTTGAAAAGCTCCCATGTGTATAATCAGTATTTTTACTTAGTATTGTTATATAAAGTTCAAAAGTTAAATAAAGAAATACAAAGAAATATCTAAGCTTGATATGTAAAAATCATGTTGTCAAGAAAGTAACTTAACATAAGATCCATAAAAATTAGAATTGGCAGGAGTGTGAACAATATATTTTGTACTTAATTTGTTTGGTTTTCTTATTGTTACTACAGTATTAAATCCTTAAAAAAAATCACTATCCAAGTAATAGAGGCAGCTGTGTTTATCACATAAACCTCTGAGAAAAGAAAACCCAAATGCACAGACTTGCCCACCACGAGCACAGGCAAGAAAATGGCTGAAGGTGACTAACCTTTGCCAAGGTTACAAATTCTCAAGAGTAATTCCAAAAATGTGGTAATATGAGGGTTTTTTTTTAAATTCCAGTTTCCAAAATTCAACAATTTGGGCACAAGAAAGAGAGAGAGGAATAGTCTCAGGGGAAAACCTTGATAAATAACATGTGTGCTCCTGGAACAGGTTATTAGTTCTGCATTTGAAACATGACAATGAGTTCCTGGCAAGGAATCTGTTTATAACATTATTCCCAAGTTCCATGCAGTGTTCGCACATTTCCCTTGTGAGATCTGATTTTTTTTGCATTATGACTAAGGAGTGAAAACTGAGTTAATGGGAAAAACCCAAGTTTTTTCATCTGAATAAAAAGTGCAAGAAATTGCGCAGAGCAGAAAACTCATATATATACATACACACACACACACACACATTTGGGTGAGAAAAAGCAGTGAACTAGTCAAAAGACACTAATCAAATGCCTCACAAACACAATGGAAATCTTTTAATGGATTGTCTCATTTGGATAATTTTTTTTCCCTATTCTTTTCCTGGAAAGAGTACTGTAATCTTAACATTCACTTAGCATAATTGACTGTGATCTCATTATTTTCTGAATTCTAGAGTTATAATGGAGTTTGAAATCAGCATATAATAGAAGAAAACAACCCAAATTTATTTCCGGAGTTAATTATCCCTCAGAGTTATAATGTAAAAAGAAGTCTTTTTTAAACCTCGATAAGCATAAAAGGAAAAAAGGCTTTAGTTAAATCTGCTTTCATAAAATAATTCCTCTGAGGTTTCAATACACCACAGGAAAACATAATGGAGGCAGAGGGGCCCTAAACACAAAATATACGAGCATTCTACCATTTCAACAGACTGCCCTCTTTTTGCTGATGACAGTGGCTCACTAACAGAACAGAATTACCGTAAGCATGTTTTGAGTATAGGGAGCATTTAAGACTGTTCCTTCTAATGACTATAACTCAATAAGAAAAAGTAAAAAAAAATTCAGAACTCAAAAAAAAAAAAAAAGCTGTTCCTGTTTTGACTGTTATCCAGTCAGTAGATATACTCATCCAAGACAGGAAACATGTTGAGAGAGAGAGTCCTTTGAAAACAGCCTCCTCGCTCAGAACTTCTGATTCCTCCTCGCTCCCCACCATCAACCCCAGCACACACATGGCCTCCAGCTTTCTGTTAAACGCACCAGCATTTGCCAGTGACGCAGCTCAAGCTCAGAGGCAGCAATGCCATCTCCCCTTCCTCACCATCTAGTCAAATGACCAATCCTAGTAGGTTCTGCTTCCACAAGGAGTCAAATCCATCTCCTTCCCTTCTCTCCCACAGGCACCATTTTACTACAATAAATTTTGTGGCTTTCCAATTATTATACCAGCATCCAATTTCTTTACCTGAACAAAGCCTGAATGTCTTGGCCAAATTTGGACAGTTCGTACAAGCTCAGGCCATGGCACACTACGAGGCCAGTAACCCCTCAGTGACGCTTTCCAACACTCACATTCCATGGCCACATGTGTGCAGGCCGTGCCTTCACCTCTCTCAAGTCTTTCAGAGATAACAACAAACAAAGGGGGGAAATTATAATCTGTGGCAGCTTTTCTCAGCTGGCGTTATCGGAACCATTGAACACAGGGAATGATTTGAGTTACCATTTTCTCAGTTCTCCCAGTGATGTTACATAAACATTACTCACTTAAATCATCCTGTTGGTCTCTGATTTCCCTGTGTGGACGCGACTCTCTTGGCATCATTTTACTGCTAAAACCGTCTAAGAATCAGCTGAGCTGTAATCTTTCCATTGGTGGAGGGTTTGAAATTTTGGAAGAATTACCAATATGTGACAGAGAATCACAAAGTGAACAAATGCTGTTGGAAAAACGGTGCCATAGACTTGCTCAAGGCAGGGTTGCACAAGACTTCACGTTGTAAAAACATGCAATATCTGAGAATCTCAATAAAATGAAGCACAATAAAACAAGGTATGCCTGTAGTAAGAATCAGAGCAGAGCCAGGATGTGAACCCACATGCTCAGGATCCACAGTCTGTGCTCTTAACTAACAAAGAATAGGCAGGGACACCATGCATCCAAAAGGAGCCACAGAACAGATTACAACCTACCTCGACCATCATATGCTTAGCATGGGACAAAAATGAACACCTCAAAGGGGCAAACCCCCAAGAACTGACCTCATTTCACCCTGGCACAAACCACTCTATTCTCAAGCTTCCCCTAATCTCAGTGTCAGTCGGGTTGCTATAGTAAACTACCATGAACTTAATGGCTTAAAACAATGCAAATTTATTATCTTACAGTTCTGGAGGTCAAAGTCAGAAATCTTACTGGGCTAAAATCAAGGTGTCAGTGGGAGGCCAAGGGAAGAATCTGTTTCCTTGCCTTTTCCAGCTCCTAAAAGTCACCCACGTAACTTGACTTGTGGCTATATCCTCCATCTTCCAACTACCTCGGTCGGGCTGAGTCCTTTTCAGGCTTCCACTTCTCCCTCATTCATCAGGTCCCTGGTGATTACACTGGGCCCATACACACAAGCAGAAGGATGATCACAAGGTCGTTTGAAGAGCAACCTCAATTCTCCTTCACCACGCAACCTAACATTCGCAGGGTGAAGGGACTGGGATGTGGGGAGCCATCAGTCTGCCTTCCTGGACACACCATGCTGTGTACATGAACTTGAGATTAAAGACAGAACATAACCATGCAGTCGGTCTGGGCAGTGTTCCGGACAAACGCACAATACAACTTGGTAAATTAATCACTCTACTCTTATAATTAAAATACGTAGCAATCCAAATACAAAAAGGAAACTTGGCCAATTAAATATAGCTTCTGACAAGAGCATGGACTGGTTATAAGGACATCTGACTGCCAAGTCCCTTTCTCCCTGGTGACGCAGCCTTGAGCAAGGCGCTGACGGTGCTGAGCGCTGATGTCTCATCTGTACGGTGGGGGCAATAACCCCCGACCTGCTTGACGCCAGGATTGTATTGAGGATCAAATTAGATTAAGTTTTTATGAATACTACAAAGAAAGTTTGAACAGAGAAGTCCCAATAAAAGCATTTTTGTTCAAAATATAATGATTTTTAAAAGGGTGCAAATGACAAAGATAAAGAATAAAACTCTATTACTACAGCCTCCGCGTTTATTTTAAAACCAACATTCATACAAGTAATAATAACATAATTTGGTTGTTATTACTGAAATTTATCTTTTACTATCTATAAAGGAAGGGCTTATGTTCAGCTCTATTTTATACACGGAGACATTGGAGCTTACTCTCTTGCCCAAGATCACACAGAAGGTGGAGTCACAGAAGGACTAGAGGCCAGAACGGCCAACTTTAAAGTCTGTTCTATTTTTGAAAACGGATTTAAACACCAGACAAGCCAATATTCCCATTCACATTAAGATCCACTAATTCCACAAGCGGCATGACTTGGAGTGAGCAGACAGAAGAAACCGTATTACACGCCGAGGGCACTTACACGGCAGCTCTGTTGGCAGAGTCCTCCGGTCCTTTGGTTTCCAAGATTCCCGTGTCTAAGGTTTCACAGGAAAGCATCACATCTTAAGATTGGCTCCTAAAAGAATCAGAGATGAGAGTAAACACCTAAGTACTGAGATGCATGCCAAAAAAAAAAAAGGTCTCTAAATCCAGCTCCATCTTTGGATAGCACGTAGCTTTATTGCACTGGCTAAAACTGCTGTCAGCCTTTGCTAAAGCTCCAAGGTTTTATTTCAAGACCCTCTTTCGATATGGGCAGATTGTTTAGTTAAATCACTTCACATCACCACTAACCCGTGCTCACTATGGTACCTGCTTTTCTTCGTGCCTGCCCTTACATTTTCGGTCCGAAATCATACTTTCCGAAGTGCACAGGAGTGCCTACAGAAACATCAGAGAGAGTCACTTCAGTCCAATGTATTTGGGACTTCAAAACAATTACTTGTCTTTAACTTTGAGAAGACTTTTTCTTCCACCTTTGGTAGGATAATGAATAAATGTGTATATGTATATGAACATTCATAAAGCAGTAACTTGAAATTTTTACATAAATACATTAAAACTCTATTTACATTAAATTTATTAATTTAGAAAACTGAAGTCGGTTAATTCTTGTAGAATGCTAGCCTAGTGTCTGGCAACAAAATAAGAAAAAGAAGAATACAATAATTACAAGAATTATTATTTCTGCTACTTAAGACAGTGAAAAACATTAGTTTGTATAGATGAATAAATATTAGATCTTTGCTGATTCCTGACTTTAAAAATACAAGATTTACTTGACTACGTAAGTCCTGTTTGTCTTATTATTAAACCAATGTAATTAATAAACTCTTGGATATGATCCAAAAAAAATCAGATTGTTTTCAGTAGCAGAGTGCAGTGCAAAGATTATTTAAATATGGTTCACAGGAGCAAAGACTAAGAGGAGAGAATGGAGGTAACACAATGTCATTGAGATAGGACCTGCAGTGTTACCTGGCGTGACCAGAGAACTCTGACATTGTCATCTAAAATGGAAGGAATTTTAGCCTGGCAGGCAATATGCTGACTGTGGAAGTTCCAAGACTATAATAAGCAGACTAACTATGGACACATAACTGTCTCATTTAGTAAATATCCCATGGAAACTGGTCAATTCCACATGCAAAGAACTTCCCTGTAGTGACAAATTCTTCTGAATTCAGAATCAGCACTATAATATATTTTACAAAATTACTGGAATTATACCACAATAAGTAAAAGTTATATGATAAAGTTAACATGTCTAAGGACATAACATCTTACTACAATTAAATTAATTTCTTGCTTCACTGACCACCACTGAACTACATAATTATGAATTTATTTCATTTATAGACACGATGATATACCGGTATTTTTGTTATAATCCACTCTATCTGCATAATTACATTCCTTACTCCATGCCTAAAAAGCAATGTCTCTCTTATTTTGATTCTCATGTGAGATAAAATAATGTTTCTAAATTTGAGAATTATGAGATAAGGAAGTTTTTTTTCCCTTTTCTTTGTATCTTAACAATAAACTTATTTTAACAACTTGAATTTAGAAAATCACAGATTTTACTCTAGAACATCAGAATATCAGAATTAATTTTAATTTACAGCATTTTGTTACGCAGAAATGGAGCAGCAAGAGTTTTCTCATTTGTTTCAATGTCCACCTTTACTATTATTATTTTGTTTAATTGAAATATAGTTGATTTACAATACTGTGTTGGTTTTAAGTGTACGGCAAAGTGATTCAGGTATATATTTTTTCTCAGATATTTGTCCATTATAAGTTATTACAAGATATTGAATATAGTTCCCTGTGCTATGCAGTAAATTCTTCTTGCTTATCTATTTTATATGTAGTAGTTTATATCTGCTAATCCTAGACACCTAATATTATTTTGTAACAGAAACAAAGACACCTTAAAAGCTATGTGTTTGAGAGCTGGTATGTTTTTCAAAAAAGGACTAATTTGACGGTTATGATCATATCCATTAAATAAAAATTTTTTTTAAAAAAAGAAGTTGTTAAAATGAAGTAAAATGCTTTCTGTTTGTTTTGGCATGCCTTTTGACCTTCTGGGTAACCTTCATCTTGTACAAAAGCTAGCCTGTGTGACTTTCTGAAACACGCACGTCTAAATCACAGATAAGTTTCACAAGCGTTCACTTATTGAAAAAAATAACTTGTGTTGTAGCTCTCTTACTATAAAACCACTGCCAAAAGCTTAGGCGTGCTTCTAGAAAAGTCCAGAAGCTAAAAGAAATTCCTTGATCCATTATACTGAAAATCAGCACAAAGACCCCTGAAAGGTTATGCTAACGTCCAATCTCTTACTCAATTATCAGGTAGAAAAAAATATGATATTTTTAATTCTGTTAATTTCAGAGGTTATTATTTAGATCATTTAAATGGGCGTATTTTTTAGAAAGTATGAGCAGCTATTTATTTTACTATTCCACAGTGTCATAAAGTTCTGTGTTCAGTGTTTGGTCATCTCAGACTTAACGGACTTAACGAATTTTAGTTGCAAGTAAAATGCATTACCTGGAGTTCTTGATCTTTTTAAACTCATGCACTAATTTTAATTAAGACATAAATAAAATGTATTTTCATAAAAGTGTTTATTAAAGGGGCTAAGAATGTGTGGTGTAGAGGAGGGACATATTATTCATGTTTACACATAGTTGGTTATTACCTACTGAGTGATAAAAATGAAAAATTATATCAGCTAAACCAGAGAATTTTATTGATATATTTGACAAAATGAACGAAGTCCTCCAAAAATAAGAAACTGTTTCAGAAAACACAGTAGAGCTAAAAAGAATATTTAATACTATATAAACCCACACTCAATTTTTCAGAAGAAACAGCAGATAAACCTACTCTTCTGGGAGAGTTTTTCCCTTTAACTTGACAGCATCATCCAATCATGTCTGTATATATTCAGTGTTCATTAGGGCTTAAGAAAAAGTTCCATGAATGAATTATTCACTAATACCTCAATCATAAGCCCCTACTTTATGACAGCAGTTAGCATCAGTAATAAAGAAAAAATAACTGAGAACCCACCTATTATTTTCTTTTAAATCTCTTTCTCCTTTCCTCTCCTCTCAAGTGCAGGAAGCATGTTTGTTTTGGAAGCAACTAGCAAGCACTACAAACGGAGAACTTAAAGCGGGTGATAAACGATCAAGGCGAAAATGCAAAATCACATCAGCTGAGAAGTGGCTGACTGCCCCAAGGCTGAAGAATGTGAGGGCGTTAGGGCAAAGCTAGAGTAACATTCCGTCTGCTGTTAAATGACAAGCATGAGACACCACGTCACACTCTTCAACATCCAAAAACAACTCCACTGTTTTACGTTTACACAACCACCAAAGGTGATCTTTGAAAGTCAAAGGAGGCAGATTCTCCAAAGCTTTGCTGCATAAAACCACAGAAACACTCATTACAGCTACTGCATGCACCCATGTTCACGCCTGAATACAAGAAACCCCGCTGCAGCCCTGAATAAGTAATGTATAAACAAATGCAACAAAATTGCATAAGTGACATCTAAGGCAAGGACTTAAACCATCTTAGGATAAACATGAGAAAACAGGAGGACAGAAATCTGTGCTTGCAGCTACTGAATGCACAATCCTTGTTCAGACATCTCCGTTATGGCGATGTAAATCGTCTGCCCTTCTAACTGAGGAAGTCAAAGATGAAAGACGGTGGTATTGAAAATAAATATGATTTATTTAGTATCGTGCTGAAAACTAACCATGAAGAGGGAGAAAGCCAAACACGTTGCAAAAGCACGTCTTAATCAGCCTGTCTTGTGTGTGCACGTGTGCGTCATCAGCCTTAGTGTACCGTGTTTCCACGATGCAGGTGGAGGGGGTCCTGGGGGCAGCCGGCAGGGGGAAATGTGAAAGAAGCAAAATGTATAGGAGCTTTCATTAGCTGTAGTCTTCCCAACAGCCACATTTACATTTACCTATTATCCTATGAAACAAAGTGTGGCGTATGAATAGGGTGGACAAATACGGTGTGGTGTTCTTAACAACGTGCCTCCAAGAACCCCAACCAGATGGAGTGTAAGTGACCAAGGGCCCCAGTGGCTGAGCTTTAAAACCCACTGTTGGATTTGCACAGAAGCCACACTTTCCACAGGCTGCCCCCAGCCTGCGCCTGAGCACAGCAGGGACACGAGAGCAGATGGGTCCTGGGGTAGACGGGACTCCTCCGATGACTGCTTTCAGCCAGGGGGGGGCTCCCACTTAGCATTGCCTAGTGTATGCTGGATGTTCAACAGTTATCTTTGGGGACAATAAACCATGGTTATTATTGAATTGTCAAAGCCCAGATTGCTGCATAAACACCAAAAATTAAACTCAGCGTGAAGCTTGGTTTTAAGGTGATTTTTTAGCTTCCTAACGTAATTTTCGGAAGCTGAAATACAGTAAATGGGTTCGAAAACTACAGAGAGACGGATTTTTGTTCCATGTGAATATAGACTCTGATAGCAGTGTTTAAAAGTTAAACGGGCTGCTGAACTCCTCTCAGTTACTCGCTGATGCTACCAGCAAACCCCATTTTATAGGACAGGGAACTCTAGGCTTGGAGAAGCCAAGTTTTCAGGAGCCAATATTCCAGCCTCAGTTTTGCTCACTCTTTCCACAACTTCCATGCAGTTAGACACTTTATCTTGCACGACAAGAACCTGAATGCTTGGACTATGTGATGTGTGAAAACAACACGGTCTTACCTAAGCACGCTGATAACTGCAAGACAAATTAAGAAACTTAAATGAGGTCTGTAGATTTGCTTGTTCCACAATGTGTGAAAAAGAAAGATGGCTCATGGAAAATAAAAGAGACACAGTATCATCAATGGATTTTCTCAGAAAATTCACCCAGTTTTACCACTGGAAGTGTTTTCCACTTGGTTCCTACTCTCCACCTTACCACACCCCTCTGGGTGTCCTTCCCACTATTTCTCCCTGCATCCTCTAGAGCTCCCATTTTTTAAAAATAAACAGATTTTCTAATTTCTAACCTAGATGTTAATTCC